TCCCCCGAAAATATGGGAAATATTTGTTAAACGTAAATTTTTGAGTCTGTCGTGTATTTTAAATTCAAATTAATTAAATCTTTCCCTCCTATTCAATTATCAACACAAATTCCTTTGCACATAGCATATAACACTGAAGACATTCCATAGGCAAAAAAAACCCCAATGGAAAGCGGTGATGAATGAAGTCTGAAGGAAGCCACAGGAAGAAGTGTTGAGGAGTCATTCAAGATTTTTTGAAGAGCTCTCTTTATGTCTTGCATTGAAACATTTTAATAGCGTCTGTGGAAGGAAAATACTTTGTTAATGGGAACTTTTACGAGCAGTGTGCCGGTATGAAAAGATTAAACTCGCATTAAAATTTAAATTAAAAAATGTAATGGTCAGAAGAGATGAAATTCTAGCATTTTCCTGCAGAGCGATCGTGAAAATCGCCCATAACCGTATGTTTTTTTTCAGTTTAATCCGCTTATCATTTTGTGCATGATTCTTCGTCTGTTGCAAATTTGCCTCCAAGCTTGTTGTTATTCTTCGGAAATTTCCCTAGAGAATTTTTCCACTGCATTTATTGTATGAAAGTATCCAAGAGCTCATTGTTGGAATACAAAACTAGAAGAGTATCAAAAGCTAACCAAGATGGACACAATAGAGTGAATTTTGGCCTTGCATTCACTTAAGCACACTTGCAGAAATCAATATACCGTGAGATTTATTCATTGCGATAAAAGCTCAGAATGTGCTATGTGAACGTTTCAATTGGATCCAGTCGGAGTGCGCTATTTTCACATGAGATCTGATGGATGCGATAGTGTGAATTTGTAGGAATAAAATCATGCAAATATTTGCGCGAATTCTCGCAAACAATCTCTGACAATTTTTTCCTACATTAAATGCGCATCATTTATTGATTCATCACGAATTCTCTTGACCCATCTGCAAATATCTAAATGTACGGTAAAATCACGTGTCAAAATTGTCCTCTGTTTTGAATTTTCTGGCCTCATTTATACACTTTTCTCGATGCCTCAAATTAACCTCCCTTTTTCGTACTCGAGTAGGTGGAAGTTTATCAAATCAATATAATGGTTGGATGCTATTGATGAATTTCACGTCAAACCACTGTTCCACAATCCATCAACATATAAACTCTTCTCCTCAGGTAAAATGGAAATTTTCCACCCACCCAGCGTGCGTCAGAAATTGAAAAGCAGGGAAATATCTTTCCCTGCTCGAGACATGCAATGTGATATGAAATCGTGGCAATTTTTGTGTGTGCTCCTCCAAATGGTTTGAGTAAAATAAATTAATTAGTGAAAATTTTCATTAGACTGGCGCTCACAACGAGTGCCTGGGGAGGATGTCTTTTGTGAAAAATTCATCAAGGGGAAAATGAAAGGAAGAACGCGCACACTTTCAAATTTTATTGTGTATAAAATTATCATCTCTCTTGTAACTCTTTCTATATTCTTTTTCACCCCCAGTCTTAATGGTTTTCACCAGATTTTCCCATATAGAAAGGTTGAGAGTTCTTATCCAACTTTTATCCACGACAAAGTGTCTTTGAAATTTCCTGAAACTCCTTCGAGCATGAATTTTGAACACACACACTTTTGGATTTGATATCTTTCTGCTCAATGTACACAATTTTCTTTTTGCGATGGTGGTAAACGTCAGTTTTTCAAATACACATAAATTGCAGGTGCGCAAAGTTCATCATAAAATTCAATTGATGCTGCTATATTAAATTTTTGTTTGAAATTTATAGTAACATCACTCTAATTCAATTATACCATAGCGGGGAAACATTTAATTTCATTTTTGTTCTCTGGTTTTGTATTTGTTTGTTTGATCTTCTAATAGGATATAAAGCAAATCCTTTTGCAATTCGTTGTCATTAGTGTGGCACTCATTAAATTTGTATACGTAATTATTATAATTCTCCGTATTTCCCTTCACTTTAATTTCCATTGTAATTCCGGAAGCTATTGTTTTGCTTGCAAAAATTTTACACACTCACATACAGGTGAACCACAGCGAAATACTTGGCGAAATATAAGCATAACGCGAACTTTGTAAAATTTTCACCTCAAATAATATGCATGCAACCCTCAGTGATGTCATGCATAAAATCCAACCGGAGCTTTTGTACGAAACTTGCACTCTTCCTCGCACCCTGAGCCAAAACTCAATGTTGGGGAAATTTTATGCTTCAGCAATTTCATCTTTGTCAAATTTCATGCATAAAGCTTGCGATGCATATGAGAATAGTTGGAATTTCGGTACATTGTACGTAACATGTATTCTCAGTGTAACTGGAGTCAAATATCACATCTCATTTGTATGACATGCAAACTTTTATCACCGAAAATGTACCATAATTTTTGAGCACATGTTCCATTTCATGGTGAATAAATTAAGTTGAGTAGCTAACACAATGCCCTATCCGTCTGTGCGTTGTATAAGTAAGAAAAACATCTCCATGAATTGTTTATTGCTCTCATCATATTGCCTGAGATGCTATTTTCATTCTGACCTGAATGGGAGCACTCTTCAGGGTGTGGGCGGGAGTGAAAATGTGTCTCAAAACCCCTGAATATTATTATACTGTTCCCTCTGGTACGCAGAGGAATTTATTATGCTCGCTCTTTGCGATTTCCTGTGTGAATACAGCAAAAAATGCCACTTAAAGATTCAAGATTTGCATTTGAAAACAGGAAATATTTTTTAGCATCATCTAAAATTTGCCAATTGTTCAGAATATTTCTTGGAAGACGTGTAAAAGCTGCCGTATTCTAATTAAGTTGTTATTCATACACTTTGTATGTCAGCTGATTGAACTATGATTTGGTGTTATTGCGTAAATTGTAAGCAATATTTTTATTAGCATCTTCAGATGACATTTGCATTGACGTGCGATTGGATAAGAAAGAGAGAGGCAACTTCTTAGAATCCTAGGTTGGTGACTATTTTTTGACATCGTACGATTGAAATAATTTTGGAAGAAAATATCACGCTCCAAATTTTGAAGTCTGTTTTCTTTGTTATCCGTTTTACGTCTCCACATTTTGAATGGAGAAAAGCAAATTCCAGATATGTATAGTGGCACTGTGTGAGTGTGAAGAAATAGAAGGCACAAGTTTAGATAGAAAATGAAGGAGAAAATTAGCAAAAAAGCCCCATTAAGGAATTCAATGAGCTCGAAAAAGAAGCATTTCTATATATACTCACGGATTCTCACATTTACCAAATTTTCCCTTCATCAAAACACGATAAATTCGCTGAAGACTGTTTAGTGATTCAATCATCTTCTCCGTCGAATTAGCATTCGTGCTCACAAGACCATGGAAAGTCTCCCCTGTTCATCCCTCAGAAGAATTCACAGCCGTGCTTCTTTGGCACCTTTTTTTTTTAATTCACATCCAGTAAATAACGGTGTTTTCGGTGAAAACTCTCCGCTTATTGGAAACAATGAACACACAAATTTCACTATTTCCCCAGTATTTCATCACTTAATTAGCAAACTAACACACAGTTAGAGGAATAGAAACGCGCTATTGGCGGAAACAATCACCATTGACCGAAAATTAAAATCACCTCAACTTAATGAGATATTGAGTGGTTCTCTTTTTCCTCGCTTTGCCAATATTCCAATATCGAGGAGGAGAGAGAAAACAACTTGAGTCTGATAAGGCCGAGAAGTGTGTAGAAACTCACGGGGGACAGAAATGGTGGAGCACAAAAAAGTCTCAAGTCACTTCACTATGATAGAGTTGTGCGTCAAGAATGTGTGAAAATGAGAAATTGACAGATTGGATGCTCGCAAATCATTCACATCCCGCCTATATTCTGTCGATCAACATGCTGGATCACATCTTCACGATCATTTGGCTCTACCCTTGGTGCCTCACCGTGTCTCGTTGATATTTCGCAGTCGGGGAAAATTGATGCTAATTTCTTTCCACATTGTTGTGAATCATACAAAACATTTAGCGCCACTGCTCGAACCCACAATTTTGCAATCCATCAATTCAATTATATTGAGTCTTTTTTTGGCCTTTTCTGTCCTGCTCGCGATTCCATCGTGACGCCAGTGGAATGACACAAATAACAATATTTTTTCCTGCACGCAGAATCCCAAACAGAAATTGTTTCACACACAAGATCAACCGTATTAATTTATTTATTCTACATTCAGCCCAAAGCGATTGACTAAATTCGTCATGAAGCGGCGTAGGAGAAATAATTTTTCCCACTATTAATAGACATTCTCGAAGAAATTCACGTTCAATGGGAAAAAAACAAGGTTTAAAGTCAAGTTCAGTCTTACCAATGTCAGCAGGTACACAGTGAGTGGATTCCACAAAGTAATCAATTTATTTAATATCCTGCACTTCCTCCCATTTCTTTTCCATCCAGAGTCCTCACTCTCTGATTACCAAATTGATTTACTGGGTGCGCGGAATTCATCACTGAATGATTCCCGAGGCCCATTTGAATTATTAATTCTAAAAAACATACTTTCACCCTGTGTGTTTTGCTGAAAAAACGTTTCGCTGAAATTTCGCAACAGTTGAATTATTGATATTGTTGTGTGTGAATGGGTTTTAAAAGAGCATTCACAGTTATTTACTGATGTATTTGAATGAAGATTTTTTGGTCAAGTACGATGTTACAAGAAAATAGTAGAATTTCAAATAGAAGCCAAGATGAAAGCGATCTTTCAACTGCATATCCCGTGTAAGGGATGAAAATCTTTGGAGCAAAAGTTTCCCGCTTATACATATAAATCATAGTAGTTCAAACATAAATTAATTCATAACGACGATTTTTCTCTCCTCGGAGGGTGGTCTTATCTTTCCTGTGCTCCAAACCACCCCTCGTTTACATTAAACAGCTCCCCGCATATCGGGGACATTACCGTGGATTTCAGGAGATCGATAAATTTAAATATTGGCATAAGTAATTGGGCAAATAAAAGTGAAACACATCGGCAATCTTACCCGAAGAGATCGGCCTCGCTTGCACCTGGTAGAACGAGTCGTGGTGAGCATGGGGAGCGATTCTGGTGGCGCTTGAGCATCTCCTGCAGGCCCGGCGGAGCGTGGATTGGGCTCAGGATAGTGAGCTTTCGATTGGGCGGCGCCAACAGTCCACCTGAGAGTGTGAGCGTGTTGCGAATGCCTGTGCCCATGGCGGACGTTGTGGACGTTTCGATGGTCTCGGCTGACTTGGAGATGAGCACGGATTGCTGTTGAAACACTTTGGACATCTCAGCAGCCGCTTGCTGCACAACACCATCGTCCATTTGCGTGGAGGCACTGCGGATGCACTTAATCGCAGGCTTGTCGATGCTCTCGCTGTGCGCAGAGGACGACCGCACAAACTGCCTCACGAACTTCTGCTGTTGTGCCGTGGCGCTGAGGAAGCCCGAGTGCATGGCCATCTCGGGTTGCTGCAGAAAGCTCTGAAACTTGGTCTTGCTGCCGCTCGCCGCACTCCCGCTCGCCGACGACTTGATGATGATCTTCTGCTCGCCGGCATTGCTGGAGGCGCCGCTCGAGGACGCACTGCTGGAACTGCTGACCTTCTGATGAAAGTGGCTCTGCTGCTGGTGCACCACAGTCATGGTGGACGTGATGCTGGACGAGGAGGATGAGGAGGATTGGAAGCTGTGGCTTCGCGACGCCTCTTGCATGAGATTCGCCGAGGAGAGCTTGGACGAGGCGAAAGCGAGTCTTTGCTCGTCCAGGGACGCATTGCGCCTGACTGAACCACTCTCGGATGCACCTTCGTCAGACATTCTGTTTGGGCTATTTCGGGTTGCGCTTCATTAGCGAGTCACTTCACTCGCCAAATAAATTCTTCCGCTTTGGCTAATTTCCTACACTTTTCACGCTAATTTTGGCTATTTTTTACTTTTGTTCCTTCCGTGCGAAAATGCAAAAGTCACACGAAGATCACTGATGAAGGAGATGTAAAATCACAATTAATATTTACATGCGGAACTTGAAGGCGTTTCCTCTCACCACTTTTGGCTCATTTCGCAAACAGTAAGTACATAATTTTCTGTGAAATGGGGAGGCAGTGAGTTGGCGAAACTTTGGCATAAATTTCAAATGAATTTTCCATGAGTGTGTTTCAAGTGCAGGAAATATTAGTTAAATATTTGTTGTATACCATCTCCGCACCCACAAAAGGAAGTTTCCTCATTATTGCTATAGAGACCCCACAAATTGCCTCTTACGCCTTTCTGTCCAAAATTACTCTCTTGCTGAAAATGCGTTCCTAATGACTCTCTCTCTCTTTCTCTTCTAAACCGCCTGTGAGATGTGCTCAAACAACCGCCACACTTTATTACTTCACGACTTTTGTCTAAGGAATTCAATTTTTCGCCAACATACAATTTAATTTACTTGCAGAAAGTTCTTTGAAAGAAAATGGATCTTACGCAAACTGGAGGGAAAGTCTATGACAACATCCAATGCCAGATTTTTCTCGTTTCCTGCAATTTCTTCGAGCGTGATAAGCGAATGAAATTTCAGCACTTTTAGACTATTTGCAAAAGTCCCGTAGGATTCAGAAAGTGCACCTGCTTGTATAAAGTTCTTTCGTTCGAAAAACTCTCTCCATCAACAAATGTTATATAGAAGATAAAAAGCTCTTTGGAAATTCTTCCCCTCAAGAATGAGAATGATGCACGATGAGTGAGAAGTTGAGAAGAGTTCTCAGTCAGAGACTTTTCTACATAGATAGCACAAATGTTTGTGACTTTAAGTCTCAGATATGCCCACTCTTCCATGTCGTGCACAATGGAAAGCCACTGGCTTGAATAGCTTCACGAGAGATGATTCTGGGGAGATAATGCATCAATTAAAGTTTAACAAAGCACATCGAGGGCTTTAAGCTTTAGTCTCAGTGGAAAAAAGTCTGAAAGACTCGTTTAATTCTCTTCGATTTCAACTCTTGTTGTGCTTCAGTCTGTGCGAAGGTGAATTTTGCAGCAAAAAATGTACAAACATCATAAAATATTATATTTGTTTAATATTGTTTTTCAAGGAATAAAATATTTCATTCATGGATTCTTTTATTTTTTTCAAACCTTCTCAAGCAAATATGTATGTACAGCTATAATTTTGTCCATGAATATATTATTCATGAATTTCAAAAGCCAAGAGTAAGCACACCTTGTTTACGACACGGATGCTGGGAAAATGACTAGCACTTCAAGCAGGATGATGAGTTCTGCATTAAATATCCATCAATTGCATGCATTTCATATGGATGATTAAAAAGTGTTCAAGACATAGAGCGGATGCAATAGAGGATAATGTAATTGCTTTTTGCTCAGCATATACTAAAATATAAATACCGATCCAAGTCAACGTGACACGCAAAATCTACTATTTCCAGAATATTTTCTAGACAAAATAAAATGATTGAGATTTGATTTGAAATATTCCAGCATGTAAGCGAGCAGCTTACCTAGTAATATTCTCGTTTTTATTCATTTGAAAAGTCCACCAGCCCATGGGCGAATGTTTCAACAGCAGAAACAAGACAGAAAGGCAGGTAAAGAAAGCCTCCTTTCTCTTCATTATACACGGCACAGACACAAAAAGGAGCTCTGTAATGCTTCAATGAAATTTTTCCCTTCATAGAGAGAGATCTTATTTATGCTTTTGCTCTTCAACCCCACGACGATTGTGGGTATGATCGCCAGGAGGCAAATCCAAGCGCAAAAGGAGCCCACGACAACCTTTTTCCCCCATTCAACCCCCAACACGCGTTTCCCCATGGATGAATAACTGAGAATGAAAAATAAATTTATCTCGCATTGCAAAAGCTCGCAGGTTGAAAACGCACTTTCGCTCCTTCAGTGAAAATGCGGACGGGCGCAAAAAATGTGCGAAAGAAGAGTGCCATTTATCATTCACCGCCACACTTCTTGTGGAGCTTTCAACGGTTTTTCACACGCCAGCAGGTTGGAAGTAGGTCAATCTACCCACAAGCCGTGTGTCCTAAGTGAAAGTTTTCCTGGGCACAATGACAAGATTGAAACAGATTTTGGGGATGAATTGCTTGGCACCGAGCAGAGATTTATACAATTTATTATATATCCACGCATGTGTTCATGGCATAAAAGTGAAGCATCCTATTCATCTCGAATGGTTTCACCCATCATTTAATGCACAATCCCGATGGCTTTCCCATCTCATATCCCATGACGTGGGCGTGGGTGAGAGACGCAGGTAAATTTTCTTTTCCCAGCCATTTCCCCCAAGTGATTTCGCCTTGTCCGGCCCACTTAATGTCATAGTTTCTTCTGCCCACCTGCCAGGATAAGCCACTCAGCGTCTGTAAGTAGACGATTCACAATCTCAAGACCTTTGCTTTAGCAATTTTTCTTAACCACACACTTGGTCATGTTATTATTTCGTTCGTGAGGTTCTGCGCATAAAAAGGAAGTCATGTCAAATGAGAGGAAATTCGAATAAACTCCGCATTTCAGCCCCTTCTTCCGTTCATCAATGTCCCAACGTTTTCCTCTGTAGTCTCGCTCTCTTTTTTTTCTCTATCGATTGTGTAACTTGTGTGTCATAGGAAAGAAATTATGTTACAGAACGCAATTGAAATTCCTAGATAAACCACGCGTGTGGAAATAGTATATGGTTTTATCCTGAGTAAATCTTAGAGGAAACAAATACGACAAGGGTCATATCTTCCTTTGATGCCCTAATGGAAAGTCACAGTGTGCTTCAAGTAAGTATAAAGGCGTGATAAATCTACCAACTTCCTTCCCAGGAAGGTAGGGAGCCGGAATGACGTAGGTTCACCGCCTCCTGGACCAACCTTTTACGACTGCTCCACTTCTTTCCGCATGGACAACACACTCGTGATTAATTGGATGGCAAATTTCATTTTTGCCCGACTCTGTCTCGATGTGAGAGGGTAATTAGCACAGACTTTAGAGCTGCTGAAGTCGCAATTCATCATACATTTGTGATGTCACATTTAACATCAATTAATTGATGATTTGACGGAAAACCTCTGACTGCAACAAGTTTTGAGGTTTCTCTGTAGCCTTTTTTTCTCTATGCTTTCCTCATAATCACTCTCTTCTCATATGTTTTATTCATAACTTTACATCTGCTCACTCCTCACATTACATATAATATGTATGATGGAAAAAGTTCCATTTCCAATCCAAGTCTATAGTTGGAAAAAGTGCAACTCATGCAAAAATACCAGAGAAATATTTCTGTAGGGGATTTCGGCAGGCTTACGAGGGCGTTTTTCAAAGAAAAATCCTGCTACATCGGTCTTATCTTCCTCATGCAATTCTCTGCTGGCGCAATATAAGTAGGGGAAAAAATCCGAAGACGAGGCTGGAATAATTTATAATAAAAGAGGAAAGTTCGAGCGCTATCGCATGAGATGTCAGTGTATGTTTTTTGTCTCTCGCCAAAGGAAAAGCTCACAGAGAAAATTGCTCATGCGAGCAATTCGATTCTCACCCTCTTGTGCATAAGATATTCCTCACCATGGAATATCATTCCATGCTCAGAAACACCTTCTGCAAGCGATATACGGACAGTAAAGACATAGAGAAAGTTCACATGAGAGCTTTTGAGGAGAACGAAAGGACGTCTCCTATGAATTGGTTCGGAGCGCAGGGAGAAATTCTTCTAATTTTCTTCTTCTGCACGTTTACCACCATTCACTGTAATGGAAATAATCCACCCACACCGAAGAAAACTCTTGTATCTGTGAAGAGACAAATTACACGAACATTTCACCATTTCCTAATTTATTGCATGGGAAAGTGAATCATTTGGAATTTCACCCTCAAGTGAAAACACATGTAGAAAACATAAACAGGGGTTAGATAAATTCACCCTGTTGGCTCGAAAGGTGGGAAAACATGGCAGGAAAACAGTCCCGCTGGAGGGAGAGTGAATAAAAAGGTTTATGCAGTGAATGAATCACTCTCGGTTGCAAAAAGCCACGGCTTGACTTGGAAGAAGTTGGTAGGATTGCGTAATCTCTAAAAAGTGTTTTGCTTAGTTCGGATCAAGAACCACATAAATTCCATTTCATTTGAATGCACCAAAATTGCGAGGAAAATCAAATTGTAGCAAGTTTTCCTTCGAGAGCACACTTCAATTCTCTGTCTCCCAATTTATGTCGTCTCACAGTGTGCATGTATATCCGTCTGTAGCATCCAAACTGCAGAAGCGAGAATAACTGTGTGAAAATACAAAAATGTCCCATTTGAGAATTTTGCACGTTTCTTCACAATCAACAATTCATGTACACGAGCTCCTGGCGAAAATTCATACAGACGTGGAATACATTTTGAAGATTTACTCAACTGTCAGACCGGTATTACAGCAATCTTCTCTGCACATTCCTTTTCATTCTGCATGTGGAAACTTATCTGGAGTTTTCCAACTGTGCTTTAGGAAAATATAAATGCACAAGTTTGGAGAAATATGTTCAAGTTAATACTTTTTCTCACTCTTACCATAGAAATGCCTTTTAATTTAAAATGCATTGAATAATATTTTTGCAGCTACTCATGCTCAAGTTCTTTTATTTTCCTAGAAAAGGAAACACGATGAGCAATCATTTTAATATTTGTCTTCCTGGGAAACCCTTTTCTTTCGATTGTGCGTCATACAAAATATTCAAATGCTTATTGGAGCAAAAAGGGGTTTCTCCGCTGGTTCTTGAACCATTCTAAATATTTAATGAAATCATTCTCAATTCTCTTTAGACAATCTCTTTTCTGACATTCATATTTTAGTATTATTAACATTTAGTAATTTTTAAAGATAATTACGATTTGTTCGTATAATCAATAATTTTAATATTTAATTTGGGTTTTCCAGTAACATTGGAGTTTCATTGGAAATGTTTTCGATGGTAAATTAGAATATTCCATTGAGAAAACGCGCATCCTCTTTACTCCGAGAGCCCGAAGGCTAAAAAAGCTAATTACATGGCAACGGATTATATCTTTGGATAAGTACGATAATATTTTCCACTTGCTTTTCTAGCTCTCAGAAGTACTGAATCACTGTGAAAAGAGATGTTTTGAAATTCTATCGAATGTTTACAGGATAACTGAACGAATGGGTGAAAATTATGTTCCTTTTGAATCCACTTATAGACCAAATCCCACAAATTAGGTGAAATTTGTCATAGTTTGAAACTCTAGTCGTATTTACATCTGCCGGCATCATTGAGACATTACCAACATTATACGCATTTCAGTCAAGTAGAAAATGAGCAAAGAATCTCCCTCATTCTACAAGCATTCACTTGTACATCTGGAATATCGAACAACTTTCATGCCTGCGGTTGTATGGAATTTTTCGCCCAGTTTTTTGCCCTAACTGATACCAACCTCAGATCTTTCCCATGTATTTACATTTCACTCATTTTTTTCCTCTCCAAATCGTGTTTTTCTTTCCCCCCTGACAAAAAATACACATTCTTCTTTTTCTCTGTTACTTCAAATGACAATTTTTGAGTGCCGCACAAAAATCAACCAGCTTCATTTGATAAAAAAAAGATGAAAAAGGGAGGAATTTCGTTATTGATTTTTCTCCAGTATCCCTATGAATCGATTCTGTGTGTCTTCATTGTACACCATTTGTCAACTTAAATAATATATGCAATTTATTGGAACAGTTGTCGCTACAATAATTCCATCATGTGACATTGAGGAGAATGTGTATTTCTCAAGCCTCGAGGAATATTTCGAAAGATAAATTAACCGATGCTACTGTATTTTCAGGTGAAGTGTTCTGATGAGAATGACGTAAAGCAATTTCAATTTCTCAATGTTCTTTTGACATATCACACATTTTTGTGTTGCTCAATTTTATCGCACAAAAGAATTTACCAGATACAGCAAAGTGATGTTAAATCTTTGTGCAAAAAGACGGTGAACAACAGAAGAAATTTGTGATAATGAGAAAATCCCGGTGAAATAAAAGACGCCAGTCGAAGCTGTGACAACAAGGCGAAAAGAAAAGAGCGCCAAAACCACAAATATAATCTGCGCAATTATGTGAATGAAAAATGTTATCAACACTGCTTCTTCGCGTCCATTCGAACGTAAAAGACGTAAAACGCAGTCCCTTGAGAGATACACTTTCATACTGCTGGCTTGGGCACTCAAAGCGGGCCCAAAAGATACGTGTCGAGAGTCTCGTTCAAGGAGACGATATCAAAAGCCACATACACAACAAAATCAGTTAACGCAAATATTTTCTCTGAAACAAGCAAATATTGGCGACTATTAAGTGCCCGCAATGAAATAATCTCAAAATAAATGTTTTCAACTATTTCACATACGCGAAAGCCACTGTTCGATGAGCGCGCCTTTCATTTTCCAAGAATACGGATTTTCTCTCGCATTTTCACTAAAATACACATGAAAATCCGTACAATTAACCTGAAAAGATTGTAGCTCAGAATTTACATATATCACTACTTTAAAAATGCGGTCTTAACTATTTGTCTCGTACTTTGAATTTTATTAGAGCGCAGTTTTGAAGTTAAAATTGTTTGGATTTTTGCCACAATAACTTACATATATATATTTCTGTGTGTTTTCTCTTGAAGTCATTAAAAAGAAATACAGATTTTTTCACGGCCTTCTTTCTCATAGTGAAAACTTTTGATGCAAAACAGCTTGGACTTACGGTGAATAATGAATTCGTGAGCAACTTATTATATTGTCCAATTAGTCATTATTAAAAATACAATTTGTGTCAGTCTCAAAGCCGATGCAAAGGCTATTTTACTTATTTTCTCAATCCCAAATGTAGGACAAAATTAGTTGTGCTCCTTCTGTTTATGTCTAAATTTTTGGCTAAATAAGAAGATGTTTAGATAAACGGACCAGTGTTTTTCTTAAGAGTACAGACAAAGTCAGATGATATCTCTCAACGCTCAAGCATCTTCATTGCGATGCTTTTCTTGATTAGAGAAGTTATTTTTCGAGTGTTTTCACACACTTAATTCGTTTGAAACTATTGTGGTGTTCTCTTCTCAAGTTCTTTCACGAGAAGAGTATCTTCCGTGTTGTGGTTTTCCCAAAAATAACGTGAATATAGGCGAATTTTCTAGCCTTCACCCAGAGTGCCAAAGAGGAAAATTCTCAGCCGCGCGACACAATTGCTATTTTTTCCACCAAACTTATTCTCGTAAAGAAAATCTGACCAGTGTTATTTCTGTGTAGAAAAGTCGCTGTGAGGAGAGTTTCTAGATATTAAGCAGAAACTCTTTTGCAGATTTTCCTCAAAGTTTCACGACGAAGAAGCACAATGAAATGCGATCGAACAATGAGACGGTAGAAGAAAAATGCCACAAAAACGTGTCAGACGAATATAAATGTGTGAATTAATTAAAAATGATATTAGCAAAAAATGTGACGATATTGCGGAGGCGACAAATTTGTCACTAAGAAAACCGTAGCACTGTCGAAATGAGCCTCTGTGGTGAGAAGTGAAATCTCATAGTTGAATTACTAACATTTCTTCATGCTGGATGAGTCACAGGGAGCAAAATTGTCACAGGACTCAGCATGAAGCTCGAAATTGGACATTCCGCGGAATTCGTGAATACGTAGACTTTTTATCTGGACACATTACCAGGTGATATCGGAGCACACACACACCACAGTTGGCCAGTATTATCTTTCAGACTGGCACGGTCTTGTCTCAGCCACTTAATCCCACTTTGCACGCAATTTTAATCCCTCGCAACGTCTCTTAATTGCACGATTGCGCCAATTTTTCTTCACGGCAATTCACACGCCGCGGACACATCAACCTTAATCCACTATCACTGAACTCACGCGATGCACAAATCGCAACGAGCTTTTGCTCCACATTCACCAAACTGCACATGGCGACAACCGACTGAGACTGCGAAGCCGATCCGCCGAGAAATTCTCGCGGTGAGACGCAACAGTCACCAACGAGAGCGAGCGAATGAGTGAGAGAATGAGAGTGACTCACTGAATTGGCGGACGAGCTATGAGTTCCCTGGCCGAAGAGTTTGGGACTGAGCAAAAAGGCATGCGGAGAGCCAAGAGACGAGTTGAGCTTTTTTGACTTGATCATTTTTAAACTGACACCAAAAGGGTAGCCTTCCACTCAATCTCTCTCCCATGCGCAAGAACGGGCCCGACAGACGGTCGAGCAGCCGAAATTTTTCCCGACAGAGACCACCGTACACACCCTTTAAACTCATCCACCCCCAGTGCTCAGGGTGGGCGAAAGAGACGGCGCTCCAGACCCAGAGAGAATTTATAAAATCCACATACTACACTGTTCATTATCAAATGAGAGCTTTAGCGCGTGCAGGTTCACCACACATCTGACCATCTCCCTCTAGTCGAGCCAATAAAATGCACCCTCTCGGCAATTACCTCAACTAGTGCATCCCACACAAGGAAACTCCCAGGATGTCGTTATGATAATGCATCTGAAACCCTATCATGTTCAGCATCCTCACCCCCAAATGAATTTAATGACACTCCACACGTGCGAGAGGTATCATGACTACCACGCATCTGCAGCCAGAAGGGAAGGCCGCGATAAGCGTGAAGAGTTCATTGGAATATTATCAAGTGGCTACCTTTATGGTATTTTACCGGAATTTTGTGTGAAGATAAATTTTTACAGCTCACCCAACCGGTGTGTTTGCCCTCTTTCTTTATCATTCACATTTGGGCTCATCTACATACATGTGCTCTTCCTACCATTGATGGGAATGTGCTTATTTGCATATTTAGTGGTGGGTTCAGTGAGTAGGGTAATGCAGCTCCATTCGGTGTGTGTTTTGATTTATTTTGAGCTTGAATTAACTTCATTCAAATTTTGGGCCATAATATCATCACACACTGAATAAAATTTCACACAGAAATATGTTGCAGATGAAAAGCTGAAGGAAATATATTTGAGCTCTGCATACCTTATACTGAATTCAAAGTAAAATTCAAGGATTGACAAGGATCGATCGCAATAACCTGCCGAAAGGGTGTCGATAGAAAGCAACTATCAGTCCATCAGTCTATGACAGGAATTGACATAAAGGGCAAAAGTGCACCACGTCAGAATGAAAGTCTATAATCTATTTTAAACTATCACAAAATCTGCATCCTCTCTCTGGGTTCTGATTCTATTAACCATGCATGTGGAATTTTCACATGATAAAGCACTCTCTGTCTCCCTCTCTTTAACTGCATTGTGATAACTTTTGCAATTCGTTTTTTTATGGCATCAGCAATTTCAGGCAGGCCATGTTTTCTTTTGCACCCGACCAATTTCATCGAAAGCCCTGTGGGAGATTTGCCTATGTAATTTTTGCCACAATTACCTGACATCAACGAAAATATTGCGTTTTCCTCATATTTCAGTGGGGCGGAAACATGCAAATATTGGAAGCTGACGAAAATTTATGTGTCGGCTCCTGTTGAGAATTGATTACTCTATAGCCAAGTGATGTATGTTCGACTGATATTGTTGCATTTTGGTAGCATGGAACAGTCTCATTTGCATATTTGTCCGATTTGAAATGAGTCGGACGGTATGGTGAGTTACGACAGAAACTAATTTACTTCTCTGTGCAGATGTGAGTTTGAGATTATCCCCGGATAGAGCAAAAACACCCTCTTCTACGTGTTTGCCCACCTGATGATCAATAACCTCCAGTGTGAGTACTCTTGCTTCCGCTTCAACGCTCACTATAATAGTCTCTGCCATAGGCACATCGACAGGTGGCCTAAAAACTTGCATCTCTTATACTTGAGATATGCTTTGTAATTTCAAGAAAGAGAACGACGACATGTATTCTTGTTCTTCGTGACAAATGATTGACAGAATCATCATACAAAAATATACCTAGGAGCAGAGAAACACGAGCGAAAGAGAGGGAGAAAACACTTACCAGTCTAGAAGTGGAGCACTGTAAGAAATAGAGAGGAAAAGAAAATAGAGATCAACCATATTTTTTTATAATTTCATAATTAGTATGCTGGTAATAAGTGGAAAACAATCACAGTGACGAAATAAATATAAAATATCTCTTATACGTTTAAGGCAAACTTTAATTGATAGAGAGCGGTTTAGAGTGCCTTGAAAGTCAAGAGCATTATTAAATTAATTGATTATATTCTTGTGCTTGCCATTCATTTTATTATTTCATTAACTATATATACATATAGTTAATGTTGTTATATTGTTAATGGTTATGTGTTTTCGAACAAAATTTATTCATGAGGATTAAGAGGCCCGTTTCGGTAATCGCCTCGTGACAGTCACAAATTGCATTTCCCAGATTTTCTCACTCAAGGACGGATTCAGCACAATAGACCCACATTTTTATCCACTGATTTATGGCCTATCACCGTACAGACCACCATCCGAAGTGTTGCAAATCAATTGATTTTCTCAATACCAATGACGCACGAGAGGGTGATATTTTCTACCCCGAAAGCCCCGAAATTCAATTACCAGATCAACAATTTGCTCCCTTTAGTCACATTTCTCAGGTTTTCCCCGAGAATTGATACTGATTTATTTTAAATAATTTTTTTTCCGTTGAATCACCATTCAAAACTGTGTATCAATAATAAAAATACACCTGTAATTGACACAAGACAACGTGCGGTTGAATAGATGACGACAGGGGATTCCAGAAGCAATTGATTGCTGTAAATTGCAATTGATTACCCCCACATGACAGCCGCTTTTTTCTCGTGCGTTAGTCACCTCCGTAGTGGATCGTCTGATTCATCGTGGATATTTCAGAAATTCGGTGAAAATTGCACGAAGTGTGAATGCTGAGGAGTTCAGAAATGGAAGATAATCACGAGACACGCTTTTCTAGTAAATGGAACAACTAACGGGTGTTATTTATCTACAAAAGTAAATATAAATGAAGCACTTTCGTTTGACACGTAATGAAGATTGCGAGTGAGTAGAAAATTTGTCAAATACATTTAAAGGAATTTGTGTTGCTTTTGAAGCTTTTGATATGTACATTCTGAAAGGGGTAAAATTTTAACAAGCATCAAATTTTATCTTAAGATATAGAGTGTAATCCAATCTGGGGCGAGGAGATATGGCAAATTCTTGTGCGATGCTATACGTGGAGAAAATACCATGACGCGAATCTTTATTCAATTTTCATCAATTTCTCCCGCGCATCCAACCTTAACTGCTTCTTTACTGTCGAGGATGAGCCACTCATTTCACCATATAAAGTGAATTTCATGAGAGGTTGTACTGAAATTGAAACTCCTCGTCGAGGCGCCCGATCTCTCAACGAGTGTAACGTCTGAAAATTGAAAGATTATCTCAGGCGGCAGGTGATGAAAATTCAAGGTGCAATATGAACTCTGCATCGCTAAATTTAAAGTTATTATAAACGCAGATGAGTGGCAAAAATATGTATATGGAAATTCAGTGAAATCCATTAAAACACAAAGCATCAATACGAAGTTCAATTAAAATTATTATATGTTCCACGATAAAATTTAAATGGTGAATTTATCTTTAACACAGTTTTCCGGTTTATCTAAATTATTAACTCAATTTAAGTCATAAAGCTTTCAATATTATGAGATTTCTCACATTCTGCGATAATGCAACGACCAAAATGCAAAATTTGGCACACGAAGCACCATTTTAAATCGATACTGTACGGAAATGAGAGAGCAAGAGCTCTATATGCAACCTATCCGAAAAACCATGTCCTCGTATCACTCTTGTTTCATCTCTCGCATAACAAGAAATTCCAACTAGATGACAAATGAAGCGCTGAAGATCATGAAGAATAGAAACTTTCTCATCTCGCATCGGGAAACTCAATTTCAGATCTTATTATTCATATCATTAGCAGAGAGAAATAACAGAAATATTCAAATTGACAATTCTTTCACATCTCCTGCAGGATTCCATTAAAACTTTCACGAAGAAGACATTGTTGAGTTGAAAAAATAAATTAGCTGAAAGTAAAAATATATTCTTGGGCTGTTCAAAAGAATATGGTATATTCGAAGAGGAAGAAAATCAATTGCATTTCGTGAGTAAAACTTTTCAATTTACCCACTCAAGACAGCTTAAACGAGATAAATCCCGATGAAAAAGTTCGGGGGTGTTTTAATGAGTGTTATTAGAAATGTCACATACAATATGGCTGAACAATCCAATTGAAATATGACGATTTTCTACTGAAACCAAATGTTCGCAGTGAATTTTGATCTAGTTCGAGCCTCTTTAGACACAAAACTACAAATTCTAATACAAAATATTTGTCATAAAAAATAATTATGCCATCTGCTTCGAATTTGTCTTATTTGATTTCTCTCACGAGCGCAAACTGTTTCTACGCGATCCACTTTTCGCGTCACTCTAAAATTATTTATTAAAAATATTTCACAAATTCAAGGGAAGCAGAAGGTCATACATGTGTTGATTTGTCACCAAACGCGAGCGAATAATTCAAAGAATGACAGCTGGGAATGTTGCTTCCCATCACGAGGATCGATTCTGAGGTGATAAAATCTGATAAATTCGCTATAAATATAAAACATCACATGGTTGCCTAGAAGAGTGCAGAAAAATTCAAAATTGCTGGCAAAGGTGGTGAAAGATTGAATTTTTAATTCAATTTCCTGCGCGTGGAGTGGAGGAAATTATTGGGGCTAATGAGTTAATTGTTTGTGTGTGCGCCTTGACAGTGTGGAACGACTCCTCCATTGGGCACGCGGGTGTGAGTAAATTATTTTCAAACTCAACCTCCCGCCCGATGTTTCTCCCATGAACATGCCAATGAAACACATAGCCAACCACACTTGCTCCCCTGCGGTGATCTTTTTA